GTGTGTGTGTGTGTATGTGTGTGTAATTAAAACGGAATAGTAGAGAAAATCCGATCAGATTGACAAAATAAACTAAGCATCCACTGGAAGGAATTCCAATATCTGCAGACGGATCCGTTTCATGTTTTTATGATGAGCAAACAGGAAGTTTAGGAGAAAACATTCTGTGACTAAATCGTGTGGAATGTTTTTAATATAGTATTAAATTTATAACAACTTTCTGGATGGTGTGGTCATTGTTGTAAGCAGTGGTATAACGATGAGTTGCCTGCTTGGACAAACAAGTTAACACTGCGTTCAATTTCCAGTTGACAACACAAGCTCTCGTTAAACAATGCTCACCAACCAGGGTAAATATAGCGTTAATAATAGGTTAATAATTACGATATTCAAACGAAGCAAAAACGGTTTAGAATGACTACTTAACTGTTGCGCATGATCAGCTGGGAAAAATGCCAAGTCTGGACATACACATTGCTCATAAAGGTTTGGAACACCCCTATGAAAAAAGTTACATCGTCCTGTACTGAAGAACTTGTATGAATATTCAAATATTGACTCTCCGCTTGGCTCTGCTTTTCTGATTGTATGGTGCCAGCCTATCTGAAGCTACTGCGATAGAAAAGCCGAGTAATACGTCGCATTTTGGCGTTTGGAAAAACTGGAAAATAAAAAATATATATTTTATTGTAGATCGATTCTACACGTTTTGTTATATAGTATAAGGCAGAACAGATAAGAAGAAACTGTGCTAGAAGGGAGAGGAAGGGTGAAAAATAATGGCAGAGCGGTGGATTTCAGCTGTTGTGTTAGTGGCGTTATATGTTGGACAATGCTTCGCCAATCAAGTAAGCATAGGTGAGTACAATGGCATATCGTTTTAGTATCATGCCTAATTTTTACTCAAAGAAATTTAAAGCAGGTTCTATATTTATGAGCTAATTTGGCGGTTAGATTTATCATTATAAAATTATCCAAAAATTTGGTATCTGTTTATACGAGAATACTTCATGTTTATAATGACGAATTTTATGGTCAGGGTTTACCTTACGATGAAAACATCAAACTAATTATGATTAGACTCGCTTATTATGAACGAAATATAAATTAAAAATTCTCATTTTATCATTTGATATCTTGAGGTCTATATCTACCAATTGATTAAAACTTGCCGGCGCCATCTTTAAAGAAGAACGGTTCGCATTCCAATTTTGCCAACAATGGTTCCACCATTCATATTAATATGCAAATTTATGAATACATTTACTTCAGGAAAAAAAAAACACAATGTTATGGCGGTATCATTACCGCTTGTAAGCTGAGATATGATAGCTACCGACTGTGATTTTCATATGTGCCCACAAGCAACCATCATTTGATCATGGAGGAATAAACTTATTCCTCCATGGTGATTGGAGATACTGTTATTCCGATTCCACTGTCCCGCTGTGTTTGTCATAACGTATGACGTACCATCGAGCGAATGGCGAACTTTCATAACACTTTAAAAATTCCATGATGATATGAAGATATTACACATTAACAATATACCTAGCCATACTAAAAGATGGATGCATTATTATGATTGTAAAATAATTGTACAGGTAACCTGTAGAATTATTAATAATTGGAATAAACTTACTAATTGAGTTAGTAAACAAACATTCAGGCTTTTTTATCAATCCTGAAAGAGCCATTTTTAAAGGAGCATGCAAAACAAACTGAAAGGAAAATCTCATAAACCTAGTGAGCCTATCTTTGTATTGAGTTAAAAAAAACACTTATATCTGTCTCTTATACACATCTAGATGATATATATATGTATGTATATATATATGTATGTATATATATGTATGTATGTATATATATGTATGTATGTATATATATGTATGTATATATTATATATGTATATGTATATATGCATATATATGTATATAACATATATACATATATGTATGTATATATATATAATTATATAATTATATATACAGTAGTTGCTTCTTGAATCGAAAAACCAAAACATCCCTCGATCTCTTGGCCTAGTTTTAAAACTCAAAACCACCTATCAGCTGCTTAATAAATGGGTATGTTGAAACTGACCTATAAACCTGGAATATCTATAGCAAAGTGTGACATTGAGTAATAATTATTCGATAGGGATACACATGGAAATCAGTGCAACAGCTTATAATCTTGAAATTTCTCACGAAGGTAAATCTGTAAAATGTTTAAAAGGTGCTATAGAAGAAAATAATTGAAACGAAATTCTTAATTAAATGTAAGTAAGTTGTATTCAGCACCATCAAATCTGTCCACGATTCTATATGCTCAGTTTAAAACAAAAATATATTCAAAAGAAAATTGCAGTAGTTATTTGTTTGTTTCTATTTGTTTAAAAATATTTTTTATGTATTAATAATAATATATTGATATAACTATATTTAAATAATATCGTGTCTGATAATGTATTTTGTTAAACTTGGGTTTACAAGGTTGCAATACTTAAGCGAAATCTTATTTGTTTAAAGACTATTTTAGCCTAATAGTTCGGTTGTATCTCAGTGTTAACAGCTTCGGACGTTTATTAATGATTTTAACTATTATAGATTTATGTTTATTTTAAATTACTCAATTGTAAAATTTGTGTGGCATTATACATAATTCATCGTCTTCGAACGCATCAAATTAAAAAAAAAAAGAAATGTTATGTAGAAACTATGTTTTTCTTGCCATTGCCAACTGTGCTCCATTCAATACACCCAGCATCAAGCCCGAAACCATTTTCAAGACGGAGTTTATATCGAAGACGGTCCCCTATCGATTATTAACGAACCTTTACTCTGTCCATAAATACATCGATACCGGTATCTAATCGGTAAATAATTTTACAGGAATAGAATGGCCCTATGACAATTTACCAGTAATGAAAAGTTTCAGTAATATCTTCAGTATAGTATTTAATACAGTTGAAAACAATAAACAAACCCTGTAGGGTAAAAGACTATGCAACAATTAGCTGGAAAAAATATCATTCAATGATTGTAAGTGTCACTAATTTGATAAATTATGTTCTTATATTCTCAATGAAAAACGATTCTATTGTCTTGCCTCAAACATCATACCTTACAAAACAAGTAATCTATTGAAAAAAATACTCATGTAGGCCTATGTATGTTTACAGTAGTACGGTACTTTTGAATTTCTTATGAAAATATATTATAGGTAAGGCGAGACTTTGTTTATATCTTAGCAAACTTACTTTTTTTAAAATATATCGTCAAAGGAGGGCCGAAAAAAAAATGAAAACTAAATTTCATTTTATCATTTAGCAAAATGATTTTGCCAAAACCATTTAGGCGAAGGGGAAAATAAAAATAAAATGTTATTTATAAATTAAATAGTTGTAGTAAATGCGATGGATAAATGCCTTATATTTGTATAATTAAGGAAGAAATATATATATATATATATATAGGCCTAGTGTATCTCACTTTTGGAGATTTCAGGGGAGCGATGGCATAATAAAAATAAATATAAAAATTTATAAAATTTCAATTTTATCATGACGGAGGGCACACTAACTGGCTAAAAATAAAAGTTTATTTATATTCAAAATCACCATTTTTGGCGGTCGGAGGTTTCGCCAAATTAGGTATAAAAATTATTGGATAAGAAGTTAGTGATTTTCTTGTTGCTGTTATTTAAACTCAACAGTATTGCCCTTTGGGTTTTATATAATAAGTAATAAAAAAAAGAATAAAAAAGCAAGAATTATATCAACAATAATAGTTGTATCCTACAACGACATGATTCACTTTACCTAATAGTAAGTATTTTTGTTATAAATAGGGGCTATGTTTGGCGAGGAAACAGGCGATGGAGACCGTTACAAGAACATTATACGAGATGCTATTCAATCTATTAACCAGAACTCCAGTTATTTAACCGATACGCATCTTGCTACCATTAGTGAACTTAAACTTACTACGGAATATACATATTCTGCTATCCAAGACAGTAAGTCCAAGCCATTCATTTGGCCTATTTTTTTATATTATTAATAGGATTAATAACATAAATATTTTTATTATCGTAGTCAATATGATCAACCACTAACGTCATAACAATCATTCGTATTGGCATTAAATATTTTCATCATTTTATTTGTATTAGGCATATATTGGTTATTATTGTTAAGATAATTATGATTAATATCATCATTCATCATCATCCATCATCTTTTTAATCCACTAAAATGGCACATCCAGCATAATACAAAGCCAAGACTCATCAAAAAAGAAGTTGGGTAATTTATTTATTATTTTATATAATTGTTATATGATTAATAATATATTAGTTTATAACGAGGCACTGTTTATTATGTTGTCCTATTACTGTTCAAATAAGTGCCAATATTAAACTATTATGTGCCAACAATAACTCCTCTATTGGCTATCTATTAACATTTGTTACATATTTTTATACAGTTTGTAATACCATGGTACGTGAACGGCGTCTATCGGCCATGATCGTACCAGAGGATATCTGTAAAACTTGTCGTGATGTTGCCGGTGTTGCAAGCCACGCCTCGATGCCCATATTTGGTCTTGATCAGGGCTCGTTAAACTCTGGTTCCCTAGCTTTTAAGATGTACCCTGCTCCAGAGGATATGGGTGTGTTTCTGATCGAGATACTGGACTACTTCAAATGGCGGGACTTCATCGTGATGTATGATTATGAAGAAAGTGAGTGAACATATTTTGATAAGATTTCAATTTAAATAATTTGAGTAGTTGTATATCTGAACTTATAGGCCTATGCGTTTTTATTCAGTCAAAATATTACACATTATGACGATAAATACGGCGACGATGGAGACGTGGCGGCAATGAGAGATGATGATAAATTACACCGACGCCGATAAATTACACCGACGCCGATAAAGACGCGATGTGTCAGTGAAGAGGTGATGATGACGATTAAGGTTACGATGAAGATGATGATGACGAAGATGATGATAATGATGATAGTGAAGATGATGATGATGATGATGAAGTGAAGTGAAGTGAAGATGATGATAAGGTGATGATGACTGAAGTGATGATGAAGAAGTAGATAATGATTAAAAAAAACAAACAAAAACAATGACAATACTGACGGTAATAAAAGAATACTGTGATATCTTTTGATAATTTAAACTGTCTTTCAGTTTTCCGAAATTTGGAGCCAGTTGTCAGTGCCGGCAATAGGTACGACTGGAATGTGACGTCACGTCAGCTTACAGAAGACAACTTTCCAGTGCTTGCTGAGCAGTTGAAGGAAGGACGGGTGAAGAACATCCTCCTATACACGCAGGACGAGACAACCACCTATAAAATTCTAAGAGAGGTAATCTAGCCATGCGTGGCGCAAATAAAATAAAATAAAAGTGATATTCAGTGTTTAATTGCAACCTGATTACGTTATGTTTCAGTAATGTAGACGGAAAAAAGGCCAATGAATTGAAATTCTGGGCTTCCGTAAAATTGACACTCTAACACAGTTTTTATCTCGTTATAGGCTATGGAACTTGGTGTTCTGAGTAGCGGTTACCATTGGGTCCTCGCTAACGTCGTAAGTATATCATGTTTAAAATAGTCGTCACCGTTGACGTGAGTTCAGCTCTTGGTAAAGCAGCAGACCAGTTGATTTACATGCCCATGAAGTAGTGCACGTGATTTTCAGTGGGAATACTCTTGATCAAAATGCTACATGATGCTCATATTTTCTTCGCGTACATTACCGTACATAACTGTAGGGTTCTCTTTGCAGGGCGTCTTCATCGATCGAACATTTTTGGAAGAGATCAGTTTAAGTCAGGTTTACCTAACGAGATTCGCTTTGAACTACACCCAAGAGCTGAACTATGCAGTACCAACGACAATCAACGTTCCACTTCGCGATTGGCCATTCAGAGAGAAGTTAGCGTTCGATGCCGTCATCGCCATTGGTCACGGCATCCGCCGTTACAGGGAAAGAGTTCATCTACAGGATCCTTCAATACTCGAAAGAGATATTCTCCCCGGAGACAGTATCATGGAGGAATGCCCCTCGGATAAAACTCCTCCAGTACCAAGCCCACTGTACCAGGATATGCAGTACTTCAACTTCGAAGGTCTGTCAGGAAATGTTGCATTCGGTGAAAACGGCAATCGAGTCAACTACTCTATTATGATCATCAGTGGCCAAGGGGAGACCATTGAACAAGTGGTGAGAAACGGTCCTAAATTGGCTCTCTTCTGCGCTTGTATGTTATGTTTACGTTTGCTATCATTTACCTACACTAATTTATGTTATAGAATTTGTTGTTAAACTTGTTTCCTATTTAGAGAGGCGAATGGGCACAGAACATAGAATTCTGGGAAGAAAGATGGAGAAGCCAGTGGAGAAGTAACTCAAGAATGAGTGTAGATGCTTACAGACAGGCCTCAGAGAGAATCCTCAAGATCGTATCCATAGAGGTACTACCTTCAACATATATGCATTAATAATTACCGTACCGCTTTAATTTAGTTAATCTTTCTTATTTCTGTATGGACATCGTTGATGCAACTGATATTGAATATAGTTGGTACCTTAAAACTGCCCAGTAGGGTTTTGTATACATGTTATAAGTTATAATGCTTCTTTTTAAATGTTTTAAGGAACCACCATTCCTACGTCTTACCCAATATGACATCAATGATGACGACAGGCCAGATATCGTCGATACTCCCAATCAGAATCAAAATGCTTACGGAAACGATCGTTTCGAGGGCTATATTATGGACTTGCTCGCAGAAATCAAAAAGGTTATTCCTGCGGATAAATTCGACTATGAAGTTGATTTGGTATCGGACAACAAGTACGGTTCAAGAAATCTATTCAGCAATGAATGGACTGGAATGATCGGAGAAATAATCCGAGGGGTACGTATGTTAATAGTTTTAGTTCTATCATTATTAGTTAGTTGTCATCTAGAGGTACTATTTGGGAATTACTTTGAGGACAGCAACTGTATGTGTAAACGTTATGTCTTACAGAGAGCGGATATTGCAGCAGGACCATTGACTATTACAGAGGATCGTGACAGCTTTGTAGATTTCTCCATTCCATTTATGCGTAGCGGTATACAAATCCTCATCAAACACCCGAGTTACGTACACGAATATCCGTTTAGCATGATGTATCCGTTTGGCGTTGAAGTCTGGTTCATCAACGCAATGGCAATGTTCCTTTTTAGCCTCTTTATGTTCCTCATCAATCGAAAAAATCCTGCAGAGTGGAGAGCTCTTGCCGAGAACGGAGATGTCTACGAAGAAAACGCTGACAATTTCAGCTTCCGTAACTCCACCTGGTTTTCTGTGAGTTCAATGTTTCTTCAAAGCTATGACGCGTCTCCGAGATCTCAAGCAGGTCGGGTTCTCACTGGGTTTTGGTGGATGTTTTGTTTGATCATGATCTTCTTGTACGGATTGAATGTCAGTCCATATATGACGGCAGCAAAGAAGGCGGCTTTCATCAGGACAGCCAAAGATCTTCTAGAGCAGATTGAAGTCAATTATGGTTGTGTTAAGGAAGGTTCCACCTATGACTTCTTCAAGAACTCCACCGATCCAGATTATCAGCGTATCTGGGGGTACATTTCAACAGCATATCCGGATCCCTTGGTTGATTTCGTCAGTGACGGTGTCCGTCGCGTGAGAGAGAGTAACGGTGAATACGCATTGCTTGCCGAGTCTGCAATCTTGAAGTACGAGGCTTATCGTAAACCATGCGATCTTCTTATTACCGACGGATTTATCACCAGAAGTATGTATGGTTTCGCAGTCCAGGCCGGGTCACCGCTTCGTGATCAGTTGTCGTATGCTATCGAAAAGCTCTTCGAAGATGGAACAATGGACAAACTGGAGGATAGATGGTTTGGTTACACGTCAGACTGTGAAAAGGAGACGCTATGGGAGAGACAAGGCCTATATTCACTGACAGCCGTAGATCTACAGGGAGTCTACTATCTGATGTTGATTGGTATTGGGTGTGCTCTCTTTGTGTATTTCATTGAGCTGTTAGCATTTATGCTGGTTCCACCAACAGATAGGAGGGGGCAGGTGAGTCATCAAATAATTCAATCAGAAGACACTATTGAGCCAGAAACTCAAGCAAAATGGCTTTGAAACTTTTACTTTACATTGTTTATAAATGTAAAATGTTTCTATAAAGTTATTGAAAATTACATTACAGTGAATTATTTTATATATTTTATTGTTATAAGTATGCATGTAATAATGCTTATATTTTATGTAGTTATATATTAGTCTTATATATACTGTATTATGTAACAATTCATATTTTTTTTTATTTAGTATTATTCAGCTCTTTCGTGTATTATAACTGTTCATCTTTTTTCCAATATCTAACTATTATTATTTAGCCCTTTCGCTTGGTATTATGGTCGCTGTGTTTGTCATTTCATTCCTTCATTCGTATACACTTGCTTTCCCTTTCATTATAGTAAATTCATTTCTCTAAAAATGTTTCATTCAAATATTAGACTATCAACAAATATTTGAATAAAGCGATTCAGAGATTTGAAATTCCTGCTTTTTGGTGGTAGATTTTATTACCTGCTTGTTTGGTATTTTTTATTTGCTAATGAGCGGCTGTATTAAAATGGTATATTTAAAATTTAATCAAAAATATATTTATCAGATGGAGAAATGTTCATCAGTAAAGGTATTTTCTCGTGAATTTAGCATGAAATTTAATTCAAAGTGGCCGAATGAATGAATGAATGTAAGGACATTTTTACATCCAACAAACATCTGGCGAAAGGGCTGCAGTTTCATGAAACTGACGGAAGCCGGTGTTGATTTTTGTTCTTTCATTTCTTTAGGGCTACTAAATACCAAAGTTTATCACAGTCGCATTCTCCCTCCGTTCGAAGTCTTCTGTTGTACTCTTTCTGTCTTTGGTTGTGGCTTGAGGAACTATTCTTTTTCACTGGTGTCGAGGTTGTGTCATTTAAATGTTTCAGGTTTCAAGACAGAACTACCATGACAACGACTATTACCTGCCAGACGCATCAAGGGGACAAACGTTTGCCTGATTCAACGCATGCGTAGTACATTCCAGCTTTCCAAAGATTTTAACTTTTGTAACTTTTATTAAATATAATATGACGGGAAGTGCTAACGATCTTAAATGGTATTGTAGGCCTAGTCTATAGATAGACTTATGCTTAAATTCAGTTGATTGCGTAATATGTTTCACTATGAAGTTAATAACCAATATCTTATGTAGCTCGCCTATACTGCACTATACACATAAAACCATACGTCTATATATAATATATGGAATATATATACAATATATATATATATATATACAATATATATATACAGTATATATATATATATGTATATATACATACTGTTTATATATATATATATATTATTCTAAACAAAACGGTTATTTCATTTTAACACATGTAGAGATTATGTTATTACTGTCTCTTATACACATCTAGATGTGTATAAGAGACAGTATATATATATATGAAATAATTATGAAGGCATATGTGGTATATCAAATATAGAACACTGCATGCATGGTGTCGTAGTCATGGTAACATAACATAATGCATGATTAGTACTAATTTTGCATCTTATTAACAAGAAAATAATTTTTATAACTTCCTGTATAGACCTATCCTGGAAAATCATAACTAAACAAAGGCAGTTCAATATAAAATAATGTTCCCATTCTCAAACACGTTAGTAAAGGCAGAATTTGACTTGTATGTATAGTATGCCTACATTTGGGTGTTTAATAAGCGAATACTGATTTACCCGAATGTAGAATTAATCACTAGTATATTCTAAGTGTCTTGTGTAAATATTAGTTCCTATAAATATTTTTCAAGAACATAATTATTAGGTTCATAGGTTAGATATTTTACTCAGTTTAGTCATGTGGTAATATTAGATATTACGCAATTGGAGACAAATAAAATCTATATAAATAAATTGAACCAAAATCATAGAAAAAGTACTTGTAATAAAGCATCAAGTGTTTTTTTAAAATAAATAATTAGGAAAATAATGCTGATGCCATATTTGTAACAAAAATGTGTTTGTTGCTGAGATACAGTCCGAATGTTGTAGATTTTTATTTTGTTTAGTATTAAACAGTATCTAGGCCTGTATTTTTTCAAGGTTTGCTGTTGTAAATTTTAATCTTTTTAATAAACGGACACATTTTTACAGTGAATACAATTGGCTGTCTTTGTGCGAACACTAACATTTCTTACCGATTATAACATAATCGACTTATAATGAACCTTTCCTTTCCGGATTGTCAATGAAAAATTAATAACTGACTAATCAAATACGCGCTTCACACCCCAGATGTGTATAAGAGACAGGTTGTACTCTTTCTCACACATATAGTCCCGCAAACGTGTATGCGTATGTTTACGCTGTAGTTTTTGGAGAACTTAGCAACAATTACAATGGGCGGAATTCTTAAACGGAAAGGTTCATTATTGATACAATACAATAATAGTACAGAGCACTCAACTTTGTATTACGTCAATGGTGATACGCTAGGGTCTAGGCTATATTCTGGTACTTGTTGCCTCACTACATTAACGCCAGGCTCCATAGGAAAAAAAAAACAAAAAAACTTGTAGGCCTACAACTGATTTTTCTAAAACACACAAAGGGCGATTGATAAAAAAAGAAAAAATAAACTCGGGAACGGTTGATGAGATACATACATACACGATTTTATAGAATATTGAAAACTGGGGAAGGGGAGTATCCACCCGTTTCCACCTCTTTCTTCCCCCCCCCCCCCCCCCCCCCCCCCCCTCCCCACAGTTTTTAAATAATTAAAATCTGTATCTCATTAACCGTATCCGAGGCTTTTGTCTGAGAAAAAAAAAAAAAAGTTGTGTAAGATATCCAAAACAGTTTTCCTCCGGAGCCTGCCTTTATCCAACAAAACCATGAATAGTATATACCGTTTTTCATCATAATGCGGTTATTGAGAACAATATTCGTCTTACTTAAACACCACACTGCCACTCGCCGGACGGAAACCCACGACCAGCTATGCCGAGCTTCTCTCTACCGGCTTAAGGGTTCCGCTTCGCCGCCCTTTAGCCGGCGAAGAAAGCCCGCCACAGAATATTCGGCGCATTATATTGGTTCGAATTGGCATAATTTTTTTTTCTCAAGTATTTGGGAACGTACTGAGTATTCGGTACAATAACACCAAGCTATTAACGACGACGACGTTGATGATGATAATAAGTATGGTGATGATTTAATGACGAACTTAAGCACAGTGTATATTCGGAAATGGATTTGGATTTTTTTTTTAAATTTCTTGCAGACGTAATTCTATGGTCCATTATCAACCATTACTTTCTCCATGATTTTGGTTGATAAAATTGATACAGTACTGTAATTAAAATCCAGGAAGATTTATTTATTTTTAGATACAAGATACAAACAATTTTATTTGTTCTCAAATAAAAACATACATTTGTTTGTACAGCTTTTAAAATATACAAAAAAAAAAAAAAAAAAAAAACCATTAACATTTAAAAAAGACAAAATTTAAAATTGCAAAGGACCCAGTGAACCATAAACAACAAAACCAATTGAAAACAGTAAATATAACCATGTAAAAATTAACATTAAAACTTAAAATTTGGTATCAAAAGGGTGGATAAAATTTGATATATGAAGTTTAAAATAAAAAATTATTTTTGCATAAGAAGTGACATTTTGAAACATCACACAAGTATATATGGAATTTAGGACTTGATGCTTAGCCCCTTGGTTCACACAACACAAAAATACAGCAAACTAACAACAGATACCAATATTTTACATAAAAGTTAAACATGTAGTGCAGGTATTATATAGGCAGGCTTCTAGGGCCATCTTCTTATATATAAAGGAACCAATACAATCTCTGTATTTTGTATCTGAAACGTATTATTGATAGGTTTATAAGGTGTGGATGATGATGATGATGATGATGATGATGATGATGATGATGATGATGATAATAATAATAATAATAATAATAATAATAATATTAATAAATAATAATATTAATAATAATATTAATATTAATATTAATATTAATATTAATATTAATATTAATATTAATATTAATATTAATATTAATATTAATATTAATAATAATAATAATAATAATAATAATAATAATAATTCTTTATTCACGGACTCAATTAAGAGAAATTAAAAGTTGTTTTTCAGCAAGTTCTTATCCTTACTAAAATACTTAAATCTAATAAAAACACATTAAAACGTATTAGAGTTAAAGCATCTTAGAAATACATAGGCCTACTTGTAACTAACAATAATAAACACTGTCGTGCTAAAGGTAAAATTCAATTAAAACTATAATATATACATATAGAATTAAAAAAAAAACAACATAAATACAGGTAAACATAAATACTGGTAAAACTATAAATTACAATTTAATTAGAATTAAAAAAAACATTATAAATACTGGTAAAACATCAAAAACAAATGAATTGGTCCATAAGGCTTTATAGTAGGCTAAAGCCTATTAATTATTCATTTCTTCATAGAAAGATAGACTCATATATGTACAAAGGTTATGGTACTGTCACTGCCATGTTTACTCTAGAGCTAAACTGAATTTTAAGAGAGTATTAATATCAATGGATGGAAAAGCCCTAATTGAAATATACTAAGCCTATTTTAATAAGTAAGTTATTTGCAGTGCTTATTCCTTGCATATATTTATATATAAGTCATAATCATAATAAAACTATATTAAGATGGAAGTTCGTTGAAAGATTTTATTTATATTTAATTTTAAGTATTCCACCCAATGGCAGGATTGCGAAAGTACCGAGGGGGCGGGGGGGATTCCTTCATGCTTTGAAAAAGTAGTAGGCCTACCTTTAAAAGTGTATTATTAATGAAAAATCAAATAAAAATGTACAGCTTTCAAAACAGATAATTAAACTCTGGGATCACAGGAATTGCACAGTTATCAATAACAATCAAAGAGACGAACCAAAGGAGTAAAATACTTTCTCGAGCATTTATTATAATGTTCAATTTGTTTGTTCATTGCGATATGCATATCATCCCTTTGGTCCCATAAGGCGGGAAATGGGTAACCGCCAGTTGCATAATCAAGCGTACCGGTATTTTACCGTGCGTGGGGCTATATAATCATCTCGTCAAGTGGGTAAATATAATTGAAATGAATCCGGGCGATTATTATTCAACATTGACAATAGATGGAGAGAGCTACGATGTGAGTCATCTATTGAACTAATGAGTGAAAAATCAACAAACCTAAGAAAAAGATCGGACAGCTGACTTCAGATTGGTTGGTACTCCGCATCTATGATCGCTACCTGCTGTGTCCTATTCATGTCACCAGCCAGCTGTAGATGGATACAAGTGAAAGTTGAAATAACAAATAACAATCATATTCAACCATGATGAAGATTTTGATTTTAAACACGATTTAAAATGTTTAAATATCAAAGAAAGCCTATATAGCGTATTGACTAAATTTAATAACAATATTTATTATTATTATTATTATTATTATTATTATTATTATTATTATTATTATTATTATTATCATTATTACTATTATTATTATTATCAGCATTATTGTTATTATTAGTTTTAATAATTTGCATATATATATATATATATATATATATATATATATATATATAGTATATATAGATATACAGAATACAATATATATTTAGGCCTATATATAGAGTATTTATTTATGACCTACACTAACCTGAGAACGTAATATTTTATCAATAATTTGGGAATAAAAAATACCAATACAGAAGTAGCATATTTTGTTAGATGGACACAACGATAAACTTATATATGACGTTACAACGATTTTAATATTTTGTACTTTGAAAATTCCGTTTAACAACAAACAATTTTTACAACGTGTGAAATTCTTTATAATTTATTGGATTGTTAAATACTAGTCATCGATGATATATGTTATGATATCACAGATAGTCATCGTGACGTATTCCCTATAGCCTGTTTTATTCAGGTAAATTTTATCGGATTCTATAACACAACACAGCAGCACACAAAAATACAATACATACCCGTAAACAAAATGATGCAGTCTTAAGCTGTTAAATTAATGAATAATGCATGAGAACAGCCGCAGCGATTTCATCGCTGAATTCACTGTTGCTGGCGTGTGTTGAAATTTTCGACCCCATCATTACTGAAGGTAACGCTTATGAAAATATTTGCAACCGCCATCTTAACGTCGGTTAAGAGATCTATACGATAAAGCGAAGTGTATTCGCCTTCTTAAAAGTTTATTATTACAATACTGGAAAATAGTAAAGACATATAGTAAGAAACATTGACGCTGGTTCCAGGTACGGTGCCGTAGCAAGATGTGGTTGTCGCAGACGGTAAAATTTATGTGGGTTTTTATACTGGTTGAGGTTTACATTCACACATCTGAGCAAAATGATGTATATATAGGTGAGTGAACATGTTTTTTTTTTTTTTCAATTTTATTCAGAAGCTAAATAGGTATTCACAATTTCTGTTAAATACTCAATAACTTAATCAAGATTCACCTGGACTCTATTTAAACTAAACCTACATATCACCAAAAAGAGCTAAAAAAGTACCGAATTTATTTAATATTCCCTTATGATAAGGTTAATGGAATCATCAAAATAAAATAATTTATATTTACAATCTGATTATTCATATTTTCACATCTAGGTAGGTTAATATGGTGTAAAAAAACATAAGGCGACTCCTAAATCAGGCCTAATAGCTACTAGTAAATTGTCCTACGGGAGGTAGGCTACCAAGCCTTTTGTTTTCCCAGTAGAACGGCGGAAAACCAGGTTTATATTGGTGCCAAAATTCTAGAATTCTTCTCGTTCAAATATGAAAGACCTACATAATTGACTATTACTATTTTAAAAAATAAATTGACGAATGAAATAATTAATTAATTGATTATATTATCTGGTTCATCATTATTATCCGGGGAAACAAATCGGAATAATATAGTCGATATAACAACTTCCTTATATTAAAAAAAATACTTTGTATTCACTGTGGCATTTTTGTCTATTGTCGACTAATTAGGACTATTCTGGCAGGGAGAAGTTTTTAATCAATGACGTGCGACATCTTAATTGATATTCATAGAAACCACGTAGGCCCATCCAATAATTTTAAATAATATTCCAATGATCATAAAAAGTACATATAAAATATAATGTAATGTTCCACCTACGCTTTGATGTGTCAAACGTTGTAGACTAGATCTGTGTATAATGCTTTATTAGTATGTTAAAGTTCGGTTGTGTTCAACTGGACTGACCCCCATTTGTTGTGTAACTTGTACTACACATCGTATAGGGTAAGCGTACATATGTACTGCCTGTCTACTAAATCAAGGTAACTCGTAAAACAACACTTAAAGTAGTACTGTCTGTAGTATTTGCAATATAAATCATCCTGTACGTGTTTCTTTGGTTAATATATAATTCAATTGCTCGCAGGATCAGCATCATGAACTAAAATTCTTTCTTTTAGTATAACTCATTAAATTATTCATCAACACACCCACTCACACCAGGGAAATACAGTATTCCTATTTTCCCAGAATACAGTTTAAATGGGTCATAATTTACACACTGTACTGTAATAAAGAGGCTATTTATACCTAGTCATATCTACCACACATAAAGGTACAGATAAAATATGTTGGTTTTTCTATTTTTTCCAGATAAAAACCTCAGCTGACATTTTACCTCAGCATCACTTTGTTCTTATTTTGTTCTTAATTTTTGAGCAATTTCAGCCTCAGTGTAGATGTGTATAAGAGACAGACTATACACAGAGCCAATGTATTATATATATATATATATATAAATGTAGGCCTATATATATGTATATATACATATTATGTATATATATGTATATATATATATATATATAATGAAGATTCCACGTTTGCTTCGATAAATATAAAATATAGAAAGACAGCAATAAAAAACAGCTAAGAGTTGTAAACATACTAGAAGCAATATAATTTATTAAATCACAAATATATGTACAACATTATGTGGTTCCACGTATGTTTCAGTACGATAATTAAGAATAAATGAATCGAACACTTTATTGTGGAAAAAAAATATTATATTTCGATCTATCCCTAGGTGTTTATCAAGGTACAACTTCATATACCTTGATAAAGACCTAAGGATAGGTCGAAATATTGGTTTCTCCAAAAAAGTGTTTCTAAAGTCCATATAAATGGTAGGCCTATTCGTTTGCTATATTATAATAGCTAACAGCGCTCAAACATGAACATTATGAATATATATTTTAAAAATAGGATTTTCCTCCCAAGTTAAGTATGGGATAGAACAGCTTAGCTTCATTATAACACTGTTCACAGAAACATTGTATTCTGGAATAGAATCATAGTAATAATATGATTAAAGAGTTTGTGAGTACGGTAATTCATAAAAGCTGGCAAATTAATATACTAGGTCTAATATGCCTAAATACGCGAGATAAAAATGGAAGGTACTGTAATCCAGAATTTTATATTAAATTAAAAATATAATGTAGAAGTAATTTTAATCAAGCCACAGAGGCAGGCTTTAGGATTCCCTATTTAATGAATATGACTAAACAGACTTGCTTACATTTTTATAAATATTGCTGATAGGGGGCGCTATTATTAAATCTTTCTAAACATACACTATTTTTAATAAGAACCAGTAAAATTCTGCCCAGACACACTTTTCAAACATAGAAGATTATTATTGTACAGCAGTATACACAGTACTGGAATGTAGGTGAAAGTGGCTCTGGAAAAAATGGCCCCTGAAAAAAGGCCCTGAAAAAATGTCCTCAGAAAAACGGCCCTGGTAAAAATGGCCCCAAATAACAGGTAGGTACAACTATGTACTGTATTTTAGGTATTACATAGTCACACCTACGGCACGTAAGGTACAGGTATACTATTTTGTAAATTTATTTTCGTAAATCTCACTTGACATTTTACCTCAGCCTCAATTTGTTCTTATTTTGTTCTTAATTTTTGAGCAATTTCAGCCTCAGTGTTCTTATAAAATGTGTTCTTATAAAAAAAAAAAGGTGTACTGTAGCATCTCCAACAGGATAGCTGTTTGCACTGTTAATAATATTTCTAAACGTACCATCTCCACCAGTTAAACTAAAAATAGCTGTTTGAGGCAAGATTTTGAAAAACATACTGTAAATATTAAAAAGAAATCAATGGACCATCGTTTGCTAAGAAACATTCAATAAAGTGTAAACTTATATTAAAAACTGTTGGAAGCTTCAAATTAGATGAATGTTTTAAAGTGTTGTATATTATTTTCCTATTTTTATCCCTTCACAGGTGTAATATTTGGACATGAAACGGATGATGGAGTTTACGAAAGTATATTAAAGGATGCAGTGGCCATTGTCAATAGGAATTCAACTTTCCTCTCTGGTCAGCATCAGATGGAACTTAAAGAGCAAACTTTATACGCAAATTATGTTTATCCTTCTTTACAAGAAGGTAAGATATAGTTGGCCATCTTACAGCATTTTTTAAAAGATAAACAAGGATTCGGTTGTTCTAGAGATCGTTGTTGTATTTTCGAAATTGTCATGCTTATCATCATCATTGACATCCATGATCATCACTATTATCATCATCATAATTATTATTTTGGCTTATAATAATTGTTAT